GGATTTTTTGCGTAAGACCCGTGCTTAAAGGAGCCGAATCCATGAAGAGGAAACAGAAGCTTATTATATTCTTCTTCTGTTGTTATTGATAGGGCCATAGATAGAATTTTGACAGTTTGTAACAGATATGAGGAAGGGTGAATGCTTGGGCAGAGTTTTTTCTTCTACGGCTTTGAGTGGTTATAGCTTAGGATTGCATCCAAGTGTACAAAACCAGTGTCATAATTCCGACTTGTGAGTGGGCACATTTAAGGTTATATCGTTACTCAGCAACTCAAACTTGAACGCAACTGCTAACTTCTGAAGCGCACCCCAGTCAAACTCTTTGATCTAACGACCGACGTTAACCCTTCATGCCCCAATATTGAACAACATCAATTTTCTCTCAAGTGTATCAATACCACATCCAGAAAGAAGAGAGTGAATGTGTGTCGGTAAGTGGGATTAATGGAAGAGGCTAGGTCGGGGCAATAAAGCATAAAAAACAACGAAAAAATGGGAGCATTAGTTAGAACATCATCGACGATTGTCTTTGTTGGATGAAAGACAGGGGCAAGTTCTTTTAATCTAAGTAGAATATCGACCTATCCAGACTGTGATTTGGAAAGTTTGTAGCAATTTTGGTGATGCTGAATTATGTTTTGGAAAATTTTACCCATTTTGTGACGTAACGTTTCCGCAATTTACCTGTATAATCCGGACAAGATTAAACCACGAAGAAATGAGGTTTCTTGATTTCATCAGAACACTCCTCCCTCCCCCTCCCTCCACACTCATCCTTTCCTTACTGAGGGGGGGGGACACCCTACCTGCAGGAGAGGGAGTCTGATGGGCCCATTTCTCAGACATCGTTGCCTGAATTATCAAGGACAGGCTCACTGCCGCTGCAGAAGAATTATCAAAACACTCCTCCCTTCCCCCCTTCACACATTACTCGTTTTGTTACTGAGGAGGGGAGGGGGAACACTCTACCTGCAGGAGAGGGAGTCTGATGCGCCCATTTCTCAGACGTCGTTGCCTGAATTATTAAGGACAGGCTCACTGCCGCCGTGAGAAGAAATATCACCAGAAGCAAAGTCATTTGACACATCGTACGTCGAAACAAATCCATTTGCTGTTGCATTGTCTGCGCTAAGTCGTTTAGTGTGTCATACACTTTGTCTGGTTGTTCGTCTCCCCCTGCTGCTTGTTTCACAGGCATCTCATTGTTGTTATTTGCTATAACTTCATAGATGCTCCCATCGTAGAGCTGACTAATCTTCTGCTCTGGCAGTTCTCTGGGGTTCTTTTCTTTCTCGGCTTTCCCACTGCTCTTTCTCCTTGATTTGGGTTTCGTTGAGGCCTTTACTGTGGTTAACCATTCAGTGCTACCGTTTCCTTTCATCTTGCTCACATGTTCAGTAATAGGAGTTTTTTCATATTGCGGATTTTCTTGCATCTTCACAACATCGCTATTCATTACGAGTTGTCGAATCTCAACAATCTTTTCTCCATGAGCTTCCCCAGCGGTCGCGCTCCTAAGTTTAGGTTTTTGCGTAGCTAAACTGGACTCATTGCCTTCAGAACCTGCGTTCATATACAGATGACTTCCATCTGCGGTGGTCAGCTCGAATCGAGGTTGTTCTTGTGTTTTCACCTGACGTTGCATTTTGTAATGAAATATTGTGTGAACAACTTTGTCTTTTATGAACTTGAATGTCTACTTTACTGTGTGCGTGCGCTCAGGACAAGAACATTAATCGTATACATACTCGCGGGTTTTAAAAATCCCTTTAAATCCTAGCAAGGAAAACGATACCCTATATTCGTTAAATTTGCCCTCTAAACTTCTTGTAGTTCTTATGACAGGAAAAAGTAATCATCCTTTTTTAGTACTGAACATCACGCTGCCGTTAACTATTGCAGACTAAAACTAGAGAACAAAACAATAATTACACTTTCCCTGAATGGCTGCACGGTTTCATGAGGTCTCCACAAACATATATATCTCCAGGCAGGTTTCAAACTAACCAAGGAGTGATCCTAATAGTTTGTTTTTATAGGAACCCACTGGCATACATCTCCAGATAAGCTGTTTTTATTCCGTAAACCTCAAGACACTCTTAATTCGAAGGGGAAAGGGATTTGCAAATAGTTTTTGTTGCCAGAAATATTTAAATGTCATAACTGTTCATCAGTAGAATGCCTAGAAATGTCTTAATGCTGCTTTTGGTTAAACTTGGTCGCTCGAAAAAGGTCAACTTGTGGGCAAGTCTACAGAGTTACTAACACTACATGTTAGTAAGAAAAACGTCTCAAAGTAAATGCAATACGTAAAATTGCGAATGAAATATATACTTTAATCAAATACACTGGAAATACGAAACTCGTTGTTGCACTCATCTTAAGCCCTGTCGATCGCGCTAGTTGGTTAACCAGTTGCGAATATCCTGTGGTGGGGACTCCTACTTTTTTCTCCCTTGTCTTCTTTTTCTTTTATTCATTTATTTATTTATTTATTTATTTATTATTATTTTTTTTATTTCATTGTCCTATTTGATTCTTAAATGCGCAAGCACGCGTCAATTAATTTAAATAGATACACCAATTAGTAAATATATGAATAAAGCTGTTTGATCTGAACACGTGACACACCTACGCGAAATACACATGCGTATAACCATTTTATCCAGTTGCACTCAGTTGGACAGTTGCAGCCATGAAAAACAGCTGAAAACAGCGACGAGTGCTCGTGTTCTCGACCAGCGCAAAAATACGGCAGTTCTTGTAGTGTAACAGCTGAATCGGCCTTACCGGGACTAATGAATATGGTAAAGCCTTCGGAAGTATTACGGCTCTTGGAAGACCGCAACTCCAAAGAACTATGCAACATTAGCCTCATTTGCGGACGCTTTTTGGCTTGTCACTCAATACTACCTGTATTCGGCGAGAAGAGGCTACTTTTTCACGATATGGTCTTGCGTAACGAAAAAATAGCTTCTCACAACAACCGTTCAAATTTCTATCGTGCATATTCGCTTGCAATGTAGCGAATTCGCCGCCAATAATAGCGTGTACCATGGCACGTTTTTTTATCCAGCGCGGCGCTCAGTCCGATTCAGCTCATACTAATAAACAGTGGATGCAGATGAGGCTTTCAACTGCTTGAAACATAAGTTTTTACAAAAATGATTTTCCCTTTTGCTTCAATGAAGAATGAAGTTATAATGTTAGGTGTGGTTGTTGTTGTTACCTTCCTGTGCGACCAATTTCTTTATTGTTGCGCAATTTCGCCATTTATTGAATGAAAACAAATCATAATTCTACTACAGGTGGTGAAACGACAGTCCAAATTTGGGATCCCATTAGGCCATCTGTTTTAACCCTTTAAGCCCTAATATCAAAATTGAAATTCCCATTTACTGCCCCATACGTTTCCGATAAAAGTAGTAGTGAGAAGTTGTTGAAGTATCAACTCATTGTATCTTGTGTGATCATGCCCTTAATTCTCATCAACAATCTGTTTTATAAAGCATTGATATCACTAGGTGAATTTTGATACTGATCACTCTTAAGGCTTAAAGGGTTAAATGCT